ATTCATGGAAATTACATGATATTTTTTTTGTTATACTCCTTATTTATAATTTTGTAGTTAATTACTAAATTCTTTTTAGTATATGCTACTTTATATGTACAATATTTATGAAGAATTATTGCCATACATTAAAACTTGTTCTTTTAGTTAAATTGTTATGAAGATAATATATGATTTCGTGCATTTAGAAAGTAATACATAAATTTAATATATGCAAAAAAATTTTATTACATAAGAAAACTAACTAATATTTAATTTTTCATATTTCTTAATTATTAATTTTTTTGAAAGAAAACTTATTTTGCTTATTATTTTAATTAATGTTATTATGATATATTGATTTAGATAAATCTTTTATCTGAAATAAAGGTTTTATAATTGGTATATATTTTATTATCAACTACATTATTTTCAGAGAATATTTATGATGATGTTAGAAATGATTTTGTTATGTTAGAAATATTATTGATTATGTTAGAAATCTTTTTGATGATAGAGTTTATTTTATGTGAAAATATAGTTTTATCATTAATTTAACACTAGCATGTTTTTTTATTTTTTATTCAGATTGCTTATTATTATACTCGGATTTTATTATTTTTTATTCTGCTTTTTATTCTGCTTAATTGTAACATTTTAATTAAAAAATTTGCATATTTATTACTTATAAATCTTCTATGCATTAATTTAATAAAAAAATTAATTTCTGATTGAAATGAGTCGTTGTATTATAGAATTTTTAAAAGTTTTGAAGGATAAATATAATTGAAAATTTAACAGCCAAGTTACTTACACCATACAATAAGTATTATATGAGTCATATATCATTTAGGAATGCAATATAAATAATTGCTAAATTAAAAATTTATAATTCACCCGTATATTTATCCTTGTAAAACTTTTATTGCAGTTAAAAACTTACATTACCATAATAATCTTTTGATTTTAAAGAGGTCCGATTTATAGATTATACATAATTACGAACACGTTGTTCGAGATTGATGCAGTTCCATGAATTTAAGAAAAAGTAGGTCATACGCGCTGTGCGGCGTACGGCACGCGCGTTCGGACCGGGACGCGCACTCGGGCGAATATTAATAAACAAAACTCGGCAAGGCCGAGCAAGTTTTACGACATGAAATCTAATATACTATAAGATCATACAAGAGTATTTTTCTCTCGTCGAACATTCTCGAAGGTTCTAGATTTTTCTTTGCACGCCTTGTGTAAGAATTAGTGCAACAACGACGATGCTTTGTTGCCAGCTAAGTGAGCCGCCGCGTGGCTATATAAGGGATGCACGCGGCGCGCCTCGCGCTCTCGCTGTAAATCTCTCTTGCTGAAAGCTTTTTGCTTGTTGACGGGCTCTCTTGCCGAACCACCCTCGCTTAACTGCGCTTGCGGCTAACATCTTGCCGTAACCCGACCGTAGTGACCGACCATAGTGAACCGATTTAATCATCTACCAATAGAAGCCATGACACACGGGTCTCAATCTGCCCTCAGCAGGATCACCATGGAACGGTCGGTATTTTCAGCAGAGTCACCACGGAACGATCAAGCCTTCGGTTCGTGCGCGTATTCAAAAGGCTCATTTGTAATCTTAGTTCTCGGTCAATTAAGTATAAATGCCGCTCAGTGTTTCAGTATACTGTGAAGACAACACGTGGCCATATATTCAGTATCAAAGTTAATAATACACGTGTGCATTAATAACGGAAAATCGGCAGATTTAGTGCTGATTACAGTGAAGCCAATTGGAATAGTAATCAAAGGGGACATCAATTACGTAGTAATAATACACCTTGCCTACAGCTCCCAAGGTACACCTTTATATTAATAAATAAACTAGTCACATCTCGCATAAGAATATATCGGGTACACTTACGCTCTCTCAAACTAATCCCTCGACATCGTACAGGCCCTCAACAGCTGACAGAAGTGTCACTGTACTTTAAGCACGTTGTCAAGGAAGAACAACAACAAATCGACTAATAGACTATTAATACAGATTACTAAGTCATTCAAGAGCTCGAAATCTTACCATTAACCACTCTTACCTGTGACTAGATTCTTCTACTGTCTCCATAAATAATTAAAGACACAATTGATTACTTAATAAATTCCATTAAATATTTTACACCATATCAAGTATAGTACATACATCAAGCATACTTGATTCAAACACCATCTTCTCATGCTACCTCACAATTATGATTGATTGACTACACCAGCTGATATTTACAACATCAACATTACCTCAACTCATGATACTCAGTCATATCATAGAATCTACAATAATCAAGAATATAAGAACACACCCTCATTACTTCAATAGAATTATCTCTCTCTACACAACAGTGCAATATTATTATAATCATTTACAAATAATAAACATTGTTTTACTAAATACATGATATTTTTCAGCCTTATCATTTATTATTTTCTTTAAAGTTACCCTGCCGAGAGACTAATCCACTGAACTATTGAATTGGTAGTTCGAGCCATAAACTAAACCTTTAAAATCGAACACACGTATTATACGTTTAAATTAAAAGTAATTAAATTTTATTTTACTTGTATTCGTTATATATTTTTTAATTTATTAATTAAATATTTTCTGATAATTCATGTCATTGTAAGTAATTTAATGAAAATTGTAATATCATTTATCTATAAATCTATATTTTAATTTAAGACTTAATTTATAATCAAGTGAAAAATGATTTAATTCAGTTTCTTTGGTAGTTTTGTTAGATAGTGCCGTTGTAAGATTAAGAAAACCTTTCTATTTGAATGATTGCAGTTTGTATGAAAGATTTCTTCAGAATGAACAAAGAATCATTAAATTTTTATTTATATGCAATCTGTAAATAAGAATTTTATCTTCTGATGTTGATTGTAATAATTTGAAATAGCTAAAACTTTTGTTCCGCAAATTTAATTATCCTTCATTTTAACTATTTTTAATATTATTTAAATAATAGTAAATAAAAATTATATCAATTTAAATAAATTTCGGATTAAATAAAATATAACTATATTTCCAGTGTCTTTAATTAATATTATTTTTAAATATAACCTTTGGTGTTTAAGTTTATTATCATTTGATTATTTAATTTATAAATTCATAATCTCATTAAACTATTATTAAATGACATAAAAATTAATTTAAAGCAAAATTAATATTAAACTAAGACATTCATTTAACAGTGTGTATATTTAGAAATTATATGATAAAAATATGCTTTAAGAATTATATTTTCATAATTATGCTGATTCTTTTTAGTATATTAAAATTATAAATTGAAATAAAAGAACTAATTAAAAATAAGTTTATATGTCAAATTATTTAGAAAGTTTTGTAATTAAATACTTTTTTAAAGAAAAATATCAACATTTTAATATTATAGATGCAAGCTTATATTTTTAATAATTTACAGTATGCCTTATTTATTATAATTATTTATATATAAAAATAATAATTCTTATATGTAATGTATGAAAATATATGAAAAAAAACATTTTTATCTAAATTTTTTTGCAAATCTAGATATTTTATAAATTAAAGAAACATTAAAACAAATAATTTAGTTTAATATATTATTGTATTTACATTACAAATATTTTTTACCATTTGATAATAACAAATTCTTACTTTAATTTAAATGAAAAATACACGAATATCATAAAATTGTAATTTTTACTTTAATTAATATATTTACTAATGAAATATTCAATTATATTAATAAATATTAATAATATAATTTTTAAATTGTGTAAGTTTACTGATTCGTTAAATATTTAAATTTTTAAAAATAAATTTTATTGCCATTATATTTAAAAAAATATTCTACATTTATTATTTTTCTTAATATAAAAAAAATGGTAAAAAAATAATATATATTTTGTAATCGAATTAAAATATTTGAAATTTATTTGAAACATTATGAATATAAACATATAAACGAAGCCTTACTATAAAATATATTATGCAGTACGAAGGAATATAACAAACGCAATAATGCGTTATGTACATAACTTTTTAAATGCGCACAATTTTATTATGCAGTTATATAGGACATTAATGACTAATAATAATCCATTATGTTAAAAAAAATGTATTTGTCCAACTTTAAAGAGTATATTTAAAATAAATTATTTGATGTTGAAACTTAAAATTCAATTAAAATGATAATAAACGTTGAATATTGTGAAGAACAGATATCCGAATGCAAAAATAGCTACATAAACATATTAACGAAAATATATAAAATATTTGATGTAGCTGCAAAACAAACCTAGATAAATATATATTTAAATGTAAAATTGCTATGCACTATTGAATACCAAATTTCAACAAATATTAAATACTAAAATTAAAATATTCAGAAAACAAAGAATTGTTATCTTTTAATTAATATTTTATATATTAAATAATATGAATTTTATAATAATATAATAAATTGATTTTTAATTACAAATTTTACAGTAAAAATATATACTATGTTTTAGATAATATACGGTTTTGTTTTAATGAAATATCAAATTCTTCATTAATAATTTATTAAAAAATATATTCTGTTTATATTTACAAATAATATTGTGTTAAAAGTAATTTGTTTCTTTCTTTTCTATCGCTAGTTATTCAGTGTATTCTCGGAGTCTTACGCGCCAAATTAATATAATATAAATACAAGTATTTTATAAGAATTATTAAAACTATATATAATACATTTATCGAAAATAATAAATTAATGAATAATTTAAATTATGATGTGAAAGTATAAATTTGAATTTATATAATTAAAAAATGATATAAAATTTTACTATTAATTGTATAATACTTATGCATATATTTAAAAGATACCAAATCTTTATTTTATTATTAGTCAAAATTTAATATACAGAAAATCACAGAAAATTGAATATAATTACATAAAGATATATCCAAATCTTAATTAATGAAATAAATATAAGAAATATTTAATAGAGACATAATGATGGTATCACTGCTGATTCAACTTAGAATCCCTTCATATTCATATCTAATATTACTTTACCTTTTAGTATGTGTAAAAACCGCTAGGTTGGAAATTCGTTTCTTTTTAATATTGGGTCGTTGATCTGATTGTGTGTAAATTATTTTACTTTTTCTTAGTTGAGTAGTATAATGATTTATGTTTAGATTGGTCAAATATTTTATTGATTATATATATATGATGCACAATTATATTGGTTTTAGAAATAGAAGAAAATCCTTTCAATGTATATATAAGTTTCTTTATTTGAGTAAGCATAAATACTCTGCTTTTTATATAGAAACACGTACAATATTCAATCATCTAATCAACTACAGTAGTAATCGAAATATTCACACTGAAAAAAAAGATTCATTATACACATCAAATATTAGTGAAAGTAGATATAATGAAATCAATCTTCAGATGTTATCTAATACATTATACAATCAAATTTTTGGAAATAAACGTAATAAAAATCCATGTGAATTAAAGAATATTTTATCAATTAAAAAAGAACTTGCTGATTTTGGCATTTTAACCGATCGTATATCAAATATTCCTAATGCTGATATATCAATTCCCACTTTAGAAGGTAAAGATATTGAAGAACATTTCAAACAAATTTCATTTCAACAAGTACAACCATATTTAAAAATAATTAATAAATTATTAGATAAAATTCCTTCTATACCAAATAATTTTGTTTTTAACCAAGGATGGACACGATATTCTAATTCTGGTTATGAATCAGTAGAATATCCACAAGAAGATGGATTAATATTTGATGTTGAAGTTTGTATGAAAAATGGTCCATTACCAACATTAGCTACTGCAGTTAGTAAAACCTCATGGTACAGTTGGGTTTCAAAACATCTTATTGATGGTACATCATTAAATTTTATGAAAAAACCATTAACACCTGATGTTATGATTCCTCTAGAAAGTTCAAAAAACGATTATGAATTGAATTTAAATAGATCCCAAGATATAAAAAAAATCATAGTAGGTCATAATGTTTCATTTGATCGCGTCCGTGTTAAAGAACAATACTGGCAAAATGAGAATAGTACAAAATTTTTAGATACAATGTCATTACATATTTGTATCAGTGGTACCAGTAGTTATCAACGTACAATTTTAAAGTCTAAACATTCTGATACAACAAATGAACAGTTACATTCAATTTCTTCCTTGAATAATTTAGCTGATGTATATAAACTGTATTGTGGAACAGAATTGATCAAAACAAATCGAGATATATTTATTAATGGAGAATTACAGGATATTAAAAAACATTTCAATGAATCTATGTTATACTGTGCTTTAGATGTAGTTGCAACCCATAAAGTTTTAAAAAAAATATTTCCTATGTTTCTTGAAAGATTTCCACACTTTGCGACTTTAGCTGGTATGCTAGAGCTTGGTTCATCATATTTACCAGTCAATTATAATTGGAAAAGATATTTAGAAGAAGCAGAAACAACTCATGATGATTTAAACTTAGAAAGTAAAGTTTGTTTATCCAAAAGAGCTGATCAAATTTGTAGATTACTGATAGCTGATAAATATAAAGAGGATCCATGGATGTGGGATCAAGATTGGTCAATTAAAGATATAAACTTAAAAAAGGGTTATGAAAAGTTTTATATTAAAATGACAGAAAAGCGATTTGATTTAAAAGTAAAACCAGAATTAAGTATAAAGTTTGAATATTTAAATGAAACAAAATATTTTTTACCAAAAAAAGTCCCGCTTATGCCAGGATATCCAAATTGGTATCGTAAACTTTGTGAAAAACAAAAAAAAAAATGTAAATTTTTTCCAAAGGCACAAAATATTAGTACATCCATGCGAATAACACCAAAACTTTTGAATCTTACATGGGAAAATTATCCTCTTTACCATATTAAAGAATATGGTTGGGGATTTCTTGTTCCTTATAAGGATGAAAATACAAATTCAAAATTACCTCTTAAACAAATTTTGAATAAATCACTCTCAAAACTAAATATTAAATATGAAAACAAAACGAATGAAATAAATTCAGAAAACCATTTGAATTGTATAAACAAAAATTTAACAAACGATCAACCTAACGTAAATTTGGATAAATGCTGTTATTTTTTTAAATTACCTCACAAAAATGGAATATTTTTTAATGTAGGAAATCCTTTATCTAAAGATTTTTTAAATAAATTTTCAGAAAATGTACTTGAAGGTATTGATATGTGTGCAACTCGAATCTTAAAAATTTCTAAAATGTGTTCTTATTGGAAAAATAATCGTGATCGTATTATGTCTCAACTTGTTATTTGGTTAGATAGTAAAAACATGCATTTTAGTGCGATTAAAAACAACTCTTTTTTAAACTGTGGTGCAATAATTCCACAAGTTGTTGCATCAGGAACTGTAACTAGAAGGGCAGTTGAAGCAACTTGGATGACAGCCTCTAATACTGATCGTGAGAGAATTGGATCAGAACTACGAGCTATGATACATGCTCCTTTAAATTATTGTATAGTTGGGGCAGATGTTGATAGTCAAGAACTTTGGATTGCTTCAATTATTGGAGATTCTTTTTCAAAAGTAGTAAAAATTCAAGGTGGAACTCCTTTTAGTTGGATGACTTTAATTGGTAATAAATCACAATGTACAGATATGCATAGTGTTACTGCTAAAGCTGTAGGTATATCTAGAGATGAAGCAAAGATTATTAATTATGCTCGTATCTATGGTGCTGGACAAAAGTTTGCTGAAAGATTATTAAAACAATTTAATCCAATTATGAGTGATAAAGAAGCAGCTTTAAAATCTAAGAAAATGTTTCTTATGACAAAAGGTCAAAAGTTTTATCGTTTAAAAAAATTTTATATTTCTGAAGAATTTATAGATAAATTGTATACAGAAAGTGAATGTTTGAAAATTTCAAAACTTCATAATAAATCAAGAGATGAAGTGTTTGAAAAAGGAAAATGGATCGGTGGATCTGAATCTGCAATGTTTAATAGCTTAGAAGAAATTGCTGAACAAAAAGAACCTGCTACACCATTTTTACATTCAAGATTAAGTCGAGCTTTAGAAAAGGAAACGAATGAAAAATATCTTCCAACTAAAATAAATTGGGTTGTACAAAGTGCAGCAGTAGATTTTCTTCATCTCATTTTAGTAAGTATGCGTTGGTTAATGAAAGATAAGGCAAAACTTTGTTTAACTTTTCATGATGAAGTTCGCTATTTAGTCCCTGTAAAATATAAATATAACGCAGCTTTAGCAATGCATATAACAAATCTATTAGTTCGTTGTTTTTTTGTATCAAGATTAAAAATGTACGATCTTCCCATGTCAGTTGCTTTTTTCACTACAGTTGAAATTGATTCTGTATTAAGAAAAGATGCTGTCCAAGATTGCATAACACCTTCCAATCCTCGTGGATTACAAAAAGGTTATGGAATTGGTCATGGGGAGAGTTTAAATATTTGGTCAGCAGTAAAGAAGAGTAATGGTTCTGTGGGAATATTAGACTCAAATTAAAAAAAGTACTTTGATTAAAATTGAAACAAGATATTTTAAATTATTTGCCTATTATGAATTCTTATTTGCCTTCAATACATATGATAACTTTGAAAACTTAATTTTAAATCTATGTAAAATAATATCTATTTATATAATTTAACATAAGTTATACATCCAATTACTTATATCTTAAATAATTATATTTTTATTGAAATAAGTTATGCTTTTTATAATTAAAACATAATTAAGTGGTAGTAATAAATATGTTTTTATTCATTTAAATATTTTACAAACTTATTTATATAAAAATATCCTTTATATTTTTGTACAATGACAACAAAGCTAATATAATGTAAAAATAGTAAATTAATAAAACATTTGATATAATTATCTTATCTAATAATTAATGAAAAATATACATACTATTTATTATTATATGATTAGTTTATTATTTAAAGAATACATGATGAGTAATAAGTAATACTTAACTTAATAAAGTAATACTAAACTTAAAAAACTTAATTTAGAAATTGAGTATTTGGAAATTTTATGTTTTAAGGTAAGTTAACTAAAATTGAAATACGGATATTAAATATGGTTTTACTCACGCATGTAAGGTATGTATACATGCATGATTGATTATTAAATTGAATAGTAAAAATAATTGTTCAAAGTTTCAACATAAAAAATGGACCACAAAACAGCAAATAGTTTTCAGAATCGTTATTATTAGGAATTTGAGTAATGAATTGGTTAAAATGAGTTAAAATGAATTTAAATAAATTACAAATACACCCATAGATAATACAATTTATAAATTTTTATATGTTTAATTCTTTATGAAAAATACATTTATAATATGTAATAACAATAATTTTTAAGACAGAAACAGTACAATACAAATTTTTGAAAAATAATTTTTATTAGAAATTGACCTATATAATTAGTTTTAAAAATTAAAAATTTCCGACTAAACCATGTAATTCTAAATATAAATTTTGTTAAGTAAACATATGAATATTAAAACATTCTTGAAAATACGTTTTTAGAATTAAATTTAATGTTTAGTTTCTGAATAAATTAAGAATATTTTATACTAATTTAAATATAATTTAAATTCAAATAAAAAATAATTATACATTAATGTCATTTTACTTTTAAAAGTGATGAATTATTTTTGTAAAAAGAAATAAAAAGAAATGAAAACTCCCAAAAAAATTTTTTCTAATCCATATAAGTTTCATATAGTTCATATGAAAAAATTATGTTAACTAACTATATTTGGTTACTTTATCTTCCACAGATAAACTATCTGTTTTTTACTTAAATGTATGCACAAAATATGTATAATGATTTATTTAATAAAACTACTATTATAAATAGTACCAGATGAAAAAATTACAATTGAGTTATAGTAGATACGCAATATAGAATCCTCAGTATTTATTTCAAGAATGAATTTTTTTTTAATTAAACATTTTTTTGCTATTATATTAACTTTCTAAAACATTAAAAAACACTTGAACATTATAAATTTTTATCGATTAAGAAAAATTTATCATTGTAAAATTTCTGCATTATATAAATTTTTACAAACAATATAAACTTTAAAGTTAATGAAATATACAAAATTATCGTTTTAAAATGTTGAATGTGTTAGAATTATTTATCTTAATAAATGGATTGTTTGACAGTTATATTTATTAATTATGTAGTAAATTAATAAAATTTGCCAGTATTGTATGTATATAATTTTTATTTATAATGTAAAGAACGTTGTAAGATATAAAAAAAATATAATTAAAGATAGTAAACAAAATAAACTCCTTATTTACTTGATGCTGAATGATTATCAACTTCAAGTTCACGAAAGCTGTCGTCTGAATCTACCTGTAAATAATAAAATTATAAATTATAAACATTAACATAAAATGTATATTTGATTTAGAAAAATAAAATATTTAAATATTTATATATATATATATAAAATAGCATTTAAAATATTCAAAACAAAGTACGGTGCTAGTGCAAGCATTATATTTTTATATTACTTCTTAAAATTCAGACATACAAATATTAAAATTAAAATCATTTCAGAAAATATTTAACCACATACAAATTTATTAACTCTTCACATATATGAAAACATTCTAGTTAATAATATAAAAATAATTTATGTCAAAATATTGTTTAATTAACAAATACAAATTATATGAAGTATTTTCTAAAGCGAAAAATTATTGCAATAATACTTAAATTATAGAATAACATATACATATAAAAACTTGATCTAGGATCTGTGCCATGGGGCAATTAACTGTAAAAAGGTAAGTTATAAATATAAGGGCTACGTTTTTTAATTGTCACAATTACTTTTCGCAACTGATAAATACATTATTCGAATAAAAAATTTTTTTTGATTTTGACATTTTGAATAATTTGTAAAAATTTACTATTTCTATTGCGAATGCAATGTTTTAATTTTAATTTTATATTATCATTCATGTTTTTTCTTTTTAAATATAAAATTATATTTATCTCAAACTTTTATTCCAAATTTTATTATAAATAAAAAAAATTTTTAGTCAATTTTTCACCGAATTTTTGTATAAATTTGTATATAAACTGTCGCTATTGTTTCGCAACAAAATGAAAAGTAAATGCAATTTTATTAATTATATTTATACGTGTAACTTTTTTGCATTACTGTTTTATGAATTTTTATATGCATAAAAATATCCCTATTTATATACACATTTATGACTTTTTATTTTATATTATTATTACAAGGTTTAAATTGTAACTGAACTAATATTTTAAGAAAATGGTTTTATAATAATTTTTTAATTAAAAAAATATACATACACATATACAAGAATTTATCTAAAACCTGAAAATAAAATAATAAATTAATATTTAATTAATTATAAAAACTATACGTACTTTTATATCTAATGTAAGAAGTTTTTGTTTGTACATTATAAGTTTATTATCTTGATCTGTTAATAATTCTAAAAGATCTTCCTGGTCTTTTTTTAATTTATCAATTTCCTTGTTCTTCTCTCGTATTATTTTTTCAAAATTAAATGATTCAGTATTTTCCCTGGATTTTTCTTGATCTTTTCTTATAAGAGATAAAGATTCAGATAAACGTTCTTCCAAGTTTTTTATTTGTTGTTTGTATTTTTCTAATTCTTCATTAACTGATTCATTGTAACACGACTTTGTAAGATCTTGTTCAGAATAACTTATTTGTGATGCTTTTAATAATTTAGTTTGATCCATTAAGAAGTCCACTTCACATTTTAATTCATATTGTTGACGCTAAAGTTCATACAAAAAATGATTAATTCTTCATTTATTGAATGTCATTTAATTTATTTCCTTTTAACACGCTTAAAGTTGCATTAGAAATGGAAAGTTATAACTTTAATGTAATGAAATTTAACATAATTAGTACCATTTGATTGCACATTTTACTATAATCTAAACGTAAAATATTAATAAAAAAGTAAATGATATATATTAGATTAATAGACCGTAAGCGTGCTGTAAATTTTATTGATAAATAGGAACCTCAAATTCTTGATTTTCTTTTGAAAGTTTTACAATCGATTTATTCAGATTTTGAATATGTATGTCTTGTTCTCGAATTAATTCTTTATATTGTATAATTAATGCTGAATCAGATAAACTAAAAAAATGTGCTTGTTCAATATTCTTTCGAGAATTACTATAATCTAACACTGATTTTAAGACTACGCCTGTGAAAATAAAATCTTATTCAATATTTATTAAGTTAAAAATAATAATATTATACCTTCTAAGGATTTTAGTAATCTACAAAATTCGTAGTCTAGTAAAATTTCAGAGGAGCCATTGGCATAATGTTGTGGATGCTTAAGAGAACGTGAATAAACTTCATGTCTGGTAATACCTCCAATTACATCTTGAAATTTTTCTAAGCCTATTCTTTTTTCAATTAAGTTACAAAGCTTAACCTATATAAAAATTTATTTTTAATAAAAATATTAGAAAAATATTTTTAAAATAAGTATTACTTTATATATTTTTAATTGTTCATGATAAAGATTTAAATTTTAATTATTTTTTAGAATTTAGAAAATATAAGTGATATACAAATAAGAAAAATGGAGCAAAAACTTTTATATATTAACAATATTTTCTTGGTCCTTACAAATAATTATCATGACATACAATTAAAAAAATTGATATTAATTAATAAAATTATATGCAATTAAATAACACTTGTCATTTTCTGTAAGTTATTCATTCATTACACAATATATGTACTAGAAAGTATACTTTCCATAAAAATTTGTACCGTAAAGTTAATTATAATATAAAAACTGAAAAAAAAACTTCTGAAATAAGGATTTCACAGAATACTGAAATAATTTTTTACTTGTTCAAAGAATTAATTATCAATAAATAAAAAAATTGAAAAATGGAGGAACGAAGCAATTTTTCTGGCATTCAACTTCATATTCTTCAATCTAACTTTCCTTTAATCGTTAACACTCTTTTGCAATACTGTATCATATTTAATATTGTATTTATATTTATATTTTCTTATATTATATACTATAAAGAAGTTAGAATATCAAACCTATCTTTTTAAAATATATACAATATCAAATAAAATATATATTTATCATAATCTTGAATATTATGTCTACATATTTAACTAATAATAACTGATAATAATACTTTTAAAAAATCAAACTTGGTTCCAAGTGTTGTTCTTAAATATTTAATGAAAGTTTGTGCTTCTTCAAATTTTACATTGAGAATAAAATTATCGTTTTCATTTGTATTTCAGATTGTATTCTAGCAGTTTAAACAGTTGATTATGTTTATACTATAACTAGTATCGTCAAAGCTTTTTTAAATAATACGTGAACTGCTTTTTAGTTATAATAGAGAATTTATATTTACAACAAATAATTAGTAAATCTTTATGGATGTATTTAAGAAAATAATTACATATAATGTATAAGAAAAACATATAGTTTATAAATTAATATTTAATTTTAAGTAATATAAGAATAAAGTGAAAAAAGTTAATTTTTTTAAATTAAAAATCAGGTTAATATAAAAATAATTAAATTAACTTATTAGTTATTAAATTTTATTCACTTGTAACAATATATTTATACGCTATTAATTTTTGTTTTCAGCTCAGTGTAATAACATAATTATTATTTATATTAAATACCAATATACCTTCGTATAGTTAGATACGTTGTCATCATTAAAATGTACGCATATTCCGATTAGAAATGCACACATACTTTGATATAATACTTCTTGTAAATCATCATTATGTTCATACGAAGATAAAAGAGCAATCAAATACGATACTGAAGAATCAATAGTAAGAAATTTTTTCACAACCAATGAACTGTATGAAGTCCACCTACACAATAAAATTAAAAGGCCCAGCTTGGATTGAATTTTATTGCTTTGTTGAAGTAGGATAACGCATTGTTGTATTAATGTTACGGGTGGTGTACCAATATTTGTTGCTAAAAGTACTCGTAGCAACTGTTCCTTTTGATTTGTACCATCTATTAATGCATGTGATAAGGCTACGGCTGAAAACCAGTTGGAAAGTTGTTCGAATGCAAATAAGCCTCCGCATAGTAGTTGCCCTAAAAAATATTTTTATTTCATTAAAAATCACTATATCTTATTTGGCTAAAAATGTTACATTTTTATTAAATATTAATAAACAAGATATCTTACATATACTTTTGATATAATTCCTTCAAAATACAAATGAAAAATAAATTTGATTTAAACTTTCATATTTTTTAAATTGCAATAAGTTTAAGTAAATAATTGTGGCTATAGAAAGTTTAGATTTTGTTAAATTTAGGTTGTAATTTGTATTCATAATTCATTTCTGGAGAAATTAAAGACTGAAGTTACAAAAAAACTCCTTTCAAATATCTTGTTAATCTTTTAGTTTTTAATACTCTTTTATACGTTACAAGTATAAATATTATAAAAATATAAATTAGACATAATAGCATTTTATATATAATATAAGTAGCACATTAAAAATGTATCTTTCAAGGAAAGTATTAATCAGGTTTGTTTTTTAAATTGCTAATTATTTTAAAACTTGTACTTAGGTTGGTTTCAGCTACAACTGCGATTTAAAAAATAACTTATTTATAATATTCTTATGCATAGAGATGATTACTCTATATGTGAAATGACATAGTAATAATTCGCAAAATCTATAACTGAGATAGAAATATTAAATTCTATGAAACGAACAATTACTTATGGCTAGTTGAGCCAAACTAATAAAAGTTGATTATTGAAAACGTATGCAATGTTTAATAAAATATAAATATAATTGATTTATATTACTTCAAAAATCTACTTCTATAATGAACATAATTCTGTTAATTTAATAACGTGAAATTTAAAAATAAATATTAGGAATTTGTACATTGAATTCATTTTTTCTTTTAAAACATATTGAAATTATTATGCTCCATTTTATTAAATTGTAAGGATACTTATATATATACTTTAATAATTTATTTATATTATTAACTATTACTATATTTGAAACTTAATAGGATATGTCCAAGTGGGCTATGTTATGGTTATTTAATTACAAATTTTTCATGTAACTATTTTTAAATATTTTCATATAATCAAAATTTTGATTATGAATAATATAATACATTTATATATTAACTTTTTTATCCTTCATTATGATCTTGATTTGATGTAATCTTATCCAAGTCCAAAGGGATATTACAAATAAAAGTCATAATTTTTAATATTACATAACTAAAATAAAATGACTTAAAATTATAATCATACAAGCAAAAGATTTAAATTTATGAAAAACCGGGGATTAGTTTAATATAAAAAATTAAAATGCAAATCTAAAAATTCAAAACTAAGGAAGTTTTGAAACAGATTGATTAAGGATAATGGTAATTCGATTGATGTCAGAGATACATATCTTTCATTATAAATTAAATTCTAAGTTTATACATTGTTATTTAAAATTATTAATTATAAATAATATATAATGAGCATATTAAAAAATAAAATCAGCCACGAAAAAAAACTGAAAATCGACACAATAATAATTTTTCTAGAACTCTAAGCATGTTATATTTAATAATGTCAAATATAGTAATTCCATTAATTATAAGAGTTAAGTTAATAGACAGTGAAATCATTAAAGTATTTTATATATAAGTTTATTAGAATTTATTGATAAGTAATATACAAATTGAATTAAAAATTAACAGTAAAAATGTATTAAAAATTTAAAAATTAGAAAATTGAAAAATAATTTTTAATTCTTTCTGTTTAAAGCATAACTGTTTCCAATGTAGTGCTATCAAGATTCTACAAAAATTTATAAAATGAGTGATTTACCAAAAGTAATAAAATAATTATATAAAAATCTCCGTAATATATTTACACATCGTGGCAGACAAGAAAATAGAAATTTAATTTCTTATAAACTTTCGTTTTATACAAACTTAGAATTAAATATATTGTTGTACCATAATTATACAATATAAAATTCTCTAATCACAACCTAAATTTTGCAAATAATAATTTTGAAACGCTAGTAAGTTTTACATTTAATAGTTTATGTATTTTCAATATACATTTAAATCTACCGAAAAATATTCAGGAAGTAAAACTATGTAGTCAATTGTGATTGTTCTCTGAAAGAAGTATTGCTATTTCATCTAAAAATACAACTTCATGTGTAATCATATTGAATCCTGAACTATCTTATACCATTATATATTTTTCAATTTCATATCCAGTTAAATAATTGTTTTTACTCTAAGTAAAAAAACTGAAAATATGAATTTTCTAATTTTTTTGTAAAATGTTATGAATATAAAATTGTTTTTTAATTTTTAATAAATTTACAATTCTGACAAGATATGTAGGAAACAATAAAATACGGTTTTTTTGCAAGTTTAATATATCTCTATTTTTCTTGGTCATGACGCATTTAATAAAAATATAAAATAATTATAATACGTTAATTATATTTAAATGTAACATTCAAACAAAAACTATACCACTATAGTATGAAAAACTTTTGATAAACCTTTTTTTTTAATATTTCTTTTTCTTTTTGTGTGTTACATAAGTACGTGCATTATTCATGTACAAGATATATCGAATATTTATATTAGAATTTTAAATAGAATGGACTAAATTATTCTACAATTAAAAGATAGTTACTTGGTAAGTTTAATATTATAAGCAACTATAACTTTTTGCTGGAATTATTTAACACTCACTATTCAAGTTAAAACGTTTTCAAGGATAATTGGAATAAAGCACTTTAAAACTCAGAAAGTGAATAGTTATCTTAATCTGTATAGATAATTTCTCTTGTGATCTAATAATGATATTAATATAGCTGCTACATAGTTTAGTTTATTTAAAATAATTTGTTTAAGTGGAAATAATTTAAAAAATTTGATGATAACAACATACACAAGAAACATTGTACCAGTCAAAAAAACTGCAGTTCTTACGATTTTGAAATAAAAATTTTCTTTTAAAAAAATTCAATAAGTTCAATGATTATTAATGATAATTAGTAATAAGTCCACAAAATTTAAACGGAGTATTGGCTATTATACTTGGATATATGTTTAAGTTATAAAAGATTCATTGTACATATTTAAATAATAGATGTGTTCGAGATTCCGAGAATCTCTCGAATGTTATCATTTCAGGAAATACCCCAACGGTTATCATTTTGGGGAAAACCACAACGGTTATCATTTTCGGGAAAAACTTTATCGGTTATAATTTCTAGAAAAACCTCCAACGACCGTTGGAGTTTTTCAGCTAAAAAACTGCCGTGTAGATATTTAAGGCAAGCGCACCACGAGGCGCATTAGTACATTTTCAATATTTGACGTAGCCAGTCATACTATTCATCCTTGAAGACTAGTTGGCCAGCAAGCTATTCATCACAACAAAAGAAAGACACGTCAATTCACATGTGTTGCTATAAAAAGGTTTGACACTATCTCCTTCACACGAAATAAAATAAATAATCCAAACGGAGCATTCGGGATGGAGAACCATTCATCAGAGAACAGGTCAAGGCTCTGTACCTCTGCGAGTAAACCAAGTAATCCTTACAGGATTAGCATGATTATATAATTAATATAGCGCAACCATATTCACTAATAAGTAATAAGTTCATAATCAGTTGCTGATTCTTACAAGATCAACAACAACATCAAGGAACATCTCATGCAGGTAAACTATTCACTACAGAACAGTTCAAGCAATTGAATCTTCATGATTGAACATAGCATACATCGTATAAATCCATAGCATCCATTCCATTGCATAAATCCAACACATCAATAATGTAATTGTTAATAAACCATATTTATCGAAGAAGCACATACTGTATTTCTACAGCCCTTCCACTTGACTCTTTCCTAAGCATCTGCTAGGGTGGGCGGCAATTATTATAAAGCTATCGAAGCATTGGCAGTTCGAGCCAGGAAATCAAACAGTTTCGAACCATATGTTCAAAATTTCAGAAAACTGCAATATAAAAAAAATTATAGCTCTTCATTATTGGACATTTGGGTCTTCGCAAAACATTTATTAAAATTGTGAGAAAAATATAAATTAAATATAACAAAAAAGCTACACATACTATTGCTAAAATATGCATATGTAGTGAATTAAATAAATTTACCAGAAATACAAATAAAAGGTTATAATAACATTTTTTATAATATTTGTTTGAAAAGTTTAGTTTGTGGTTCGAACTGCCAAATTCAATAGTTCAGTTTATTAGTCTCTCGCCGTAGCAGTGCTTAGGAAAAGGACATATGTGGAAGGGCTGTAAATATGTAGTGTGTAACTTTGTTTTAAGACATCGTTTATTCTGTTTTATTAACAATAACAGTATTGTAATTCTATGTTCGCTTCTTGTAGGAGAGGGGGAATTATTCAGATGTTTGCAGGGAGAATCGATGTCTGGGATCAGATTAAAAACCTCCTTAGATGTTGGGTGGAGGTGTTGCTGGCAAATGGAAGGGGCAATGGAATTATTCAATACTACATGCAGTGTTTCCTTTCTTTCCTTTATTAAATATAATAATGTAATAAATAGTTAATAACCATAAAGTGTGTGAATGAAGGTGTGAGCGAATAATTAGAGGAAGTTTCTTCAATAGTGTTACGTGCTGAGGAGAGTGTATGTACTCCCCGTGATGTGAGGAGTGACTCCTTCCCTTCCGCGAAGTGCCGCTGTAGTAGTATACGTGTGAACCGCCGCTGTTGTACCGCTGCTGCCTAAGTGAGACTGGGTTGCTCCTGCCTTTGTGTCGGTGCGTAAGAGCTGCTGCTGTCGCACCGAAGCCTTCTAAAGGGGGACCGCTGCTGCTATCTTAGTGTCGGTGTAATCTGTTAATATATATAGTATGCTTCGATAGTTTCACTCTTGAGTAAGTTAGCACTATCGCATTATTCGTTAAGTTTGATTAGCGGATTATGAAATGTGCTTCACTATTGTATAGCCAAATTGCTTACTGTTTGAGCAATTACGTACATGTGTATCTACAGTGAGAGATGACTGTAGAAAGAAGCTTGAAGACTGAATAGTGAACTGCTGTGTTACTGCGTAATCATTATTACGCTAAGCTGAGACAAAGACTGACTGGCGCGTGGCACGCGCAGTCCTTAAGTATTCTCGTAGTAATTTTTAGGAGCCGGTAGCGATCCGGTGCCTGTTAATATGCCGGTATTTGTCGTGACGTCAATAAGCATAGTTTTTGCGAGTTTCATTGTTATAATTCTTCGAAATTCTAGTCCTATATTCGAGTTTTCGGTGTAGAAATATTATTCGAGTTCGTTAGCTAGTATTTATAAACAATCGTTCGCGCGCTTATATCTCTCCCATTTTTGTATTCCGCTTTCAACTGTTCAATCCGTAACAATCGACCATCCTCATAAGGGGAGTATGGGAATGTTTCTGTGGTAGTTAGCAGGGAGAATCGACCATACTCATAAGAGGAGTAAGGAATGTTTCAGGGAGAATCGACCATACTCGTAAGGGAGTATGGGAGTATTTGTGTGCTAAGTATTCGCAATAAAGACTGATGATATACCTTCGAGAGTAGAAAGATCACATACCATGCTTTGTGTAGTCGACTATTTTCTAGAACGGCAGTTAGCCCTTGATGGATTGTTGTCTTGGTGCACTGGAGAAGTAAACGAGCGTTCCTTGCATAGCTGCATTCCTTGGTGTAGACTCTGTGCGATAGCGTGGCTTGGGCGTAGGTGACTGATTGTGAGGAAAAACTGATATTGTTCACTTTATGAGTACCGACACTACGTACTTAACGACTGCTTTGTGTTAACTACGTGGAATCTTGTCGCGCGCTTTCTTCAGTATCAGCGCGACAATTAGCTCTGGCTCGAAACAAGCTTCTAGCTACTTGAGAATTCGGTGAAAGCAAAGTAATCGTTCGAGGCCAAGCAGCCTTCGGAAACAATCGAGAATTCAGTGAAAGCAAACCTTGGAAGATTCAATTCAGTCGACATTACTACGCGAAGGCTAAGTAGCCTTGTAGAACGTTCGAGAATTCTGCTTTTGAATAATTGAGAAATGAATATTAGAAAATGTAAACATTCCAAGAACCGAAAGCCTCGAATAAAATGCTCCTATTCCGAACAATATTATTGAAAATTTTATTATTACCGTGGATGGAAATTAATTTAATTTGATTGCCGACGATAATCTTTTTAAAAATGAATTAAAACTAAATGAATTTAAGAAGTGATACATCAGTAAATCTGAAATAACAAATTTTATTAAATATTAACATGAAACAATGTTGATAGGTTTTAATTAAACGTTTAAGTGAAATATTTCATTCAAATATTTTATAAATGACAATTAAACCGATAGGAATAGTTATTTGACTTCTTTTCATTCATTTATAATAAAAGTATTATTAACATAGTACTATGAAATATATACCTTAACTTCTGGAACAATGATTACCTTATTTGATCAATAATGTAATGACCTAAATCTCATAGTACAGATTACAGATTTAATTAACATAACTTTTAAATTATTTAAAGTATGTATATAATCAATAATTTTTAATAAATTCTAAAAAATAAATATATTCTAATACAAAATCGGTACAAAATATGCGCAAAAATTAAGAATTCTTTAATATAAAAAAAACTCTTAATATTTAGAATTTCATAAAATAAAATGAAATGATACATTATCCATTTATTAAAAACTATTAAATCAATTTTAATTTAGATCTAAAATATCCGATTAAACTGTAAAAATAAGAATTTAGAAAATACATTTTGTTATTTGTAAATTTACATATAATTTTAATCATATGTATTTTTATTATAATGTATAATAAAAATAAAAGATATAAAATTAATTAATTTTAAAATCTAAGATACATATCTTAGATGTAAAACTTCTACCTTATTATATTTTATATAACTAATAATTATAAGCAAATTATAAATATTTACATCTATAATATGTAATTAAAAAGGAAAATTGGATAAAGTACTAACCAGTCGTTGTCATCATATGTATACAAGACATTGAGAGCGAAAGAAAAGTTAAGCATGATAAATTAGTATTGTATTTGTCATTAACTTGGTCAGAGGTATAATATATTCCTGCAATATGTACCTGTCTGGATGTAAAGTTTCATGATCTAATATATTATTGTATTTTTTTACCTTTTTTTAAACATGCTTATTCAATCATTTCCTTAACAACTGTATTCCGAAACTTAAAAAATATAAACGTAATAAAAACATAATTTAAACACTAGTTATAAAATATTTTTCCATAGTTTTCTATGACTTTGCATTTTCTTTTACTATATTTATTTCCAATTCTTTTAATCTGTTGGAGTTGTACTTTGTAGGCTATACATCAAATTGTTTATTAATATTCAATAATGCGATTGTTTTTTTAACCAAGTTTAAAATTAATAAAAAAAAATATATAATTTCAATATTCCTTTGCATATTATATTATATATATATGATTGAAAAACAATTGAAGCCTTTCAGCTTGATAATTGTAATATAATTTATTAATACAGATAATTTAGGATATTAATATTTAAAAAAATGTAATTATTGAAATACTCCAGATTAAATGTCTGTCATATATAAAGCATGCTAATTAAGTATTAATTAATTAATATTTAATCATAAATTATGTTTAAAAACTATTTAAGTTGTTAAAATATATTATAAAATCTATTAAATTTGTGTAAAACTATAATATGATTGTAATATTAGGTAATTGAATGCTTATTTTACATTTGAATTTCACATATTAATATGTATTATTAATTTAATAATTAATTGATATTTACATGTAGTAACAAAAAAAATTTTTTTCAGTATTTGAGATAAGGTGAAGAAAAGAATCAATGTACTCTTAGTATTTTCAATTTACTCACTTAGATATTTTGGAAAATAAAATTGATTATATTAAGTAGAAGATCTAGCTGGGTTTTGCCCATCAAATGTAAGATGCTTTCTTTAGTTATGTTACAGTTGTTTCTCAGTTATGCTGAAGTTGTTAGAATTTTAAACAATGGTTTTTTACCATTATGATCTATTTGTAGTGCTGTTCTTTACAATGTTAAACTCTATATGTATGAGCTTAACTGTTGTAAGCAGTTTAAATACCAATTTCAGAATTATTAAAATTGTGAAAATAATGTTCATTTTTCTGCTGCTGTTGATACCTTTATTGTAAATATTATTTGTATTGATATATATGTTGTATCAAGTAGTAAAATACTCTTTCAACTACATTCTTTGTCACATATTTTGAATGATATTTGAAATAGAAGCTAATTTTTCAAGAACTGGTATTTTGTGTTATTATTTTATCTTTGCACTTGATTGTTCTAAAATGATAACTTAACCTACTTTTTCTTTTTAATATGATACAATGTATTTTCTGCAATAACTGATGATAATGTGTATCATCATGTATAAACAGTTACAAATATGTGTAATATAGGAAAATTAACAGAACATTCAGATTATACATTACTACTGTACTTTTTTTTTGTTAAATTTAAATGGTAAGTTTTTCTATTTTCATTATGTTAGTTTTATAATATATTAAACATTTTAAATAAATAAAAAGATATTTCTCATAATTATTAATTGAAACTTTTGAACATACTAAATAATATGTATAAATGATGGAATAATATTAAAATTATATATAAGTTTGTAATAAAATAATCAAATTAATATTTCATTATGTAATTTGACTGTACAAACATCTTGATAAATTTTGATAAATTTATAAAATAAAAATAAATATAAAATATAGAAAATATAACCTGTTGTTAAAGAAGGACTTTCATTGCCAAGTGGAAGCAAAGTTTGAACAAGCTGCATTTGCCTACTTTCGTTTTTAAAAAGAAAACATTGAAAACAATATAATACTGCACACCTTAAAGAAAATGGCTGTTTTTCATTAACCATCGACATAAGCAAAACGACTATAGCTGACCTTAAATGTTAAATTTTAAAAAACAAAATATAAAATTTTACTTATCTTAAAATTTAAAGATTTATTACATACCTTGGTGGAATACTAGGTGCCATAACATATGCTAAAAACTCTTGATTACCTGCATTACCACGAATAACTTCAGCAACAGAACAAATTGTTTCAGCCAATATATCAGTTGGAACTCCAATTATCATAAGGATGTCACAAAGAGCTTGAAGTAAGTGGCAGTTTTTCATTATTTTTTGACAATCAGTTACCAACTATAAAAATGAATGGATCATTTTTAAATTTTTATAAACTTTAATTATAAATAGAAATTAAATGAAAGAATACCTGGGCAGATCCATTTGGAACCACAAGAGCACGTATAACTTGGATCATGCAATGTACATTTGATACTTTCTGTGAATTCCATAAAACATGAACTTTATTTTCATTAACTTTTGTAAATGACTGAAACATTGGTGTTAATCTCTGAATATAATTACCTATAATTTAATAAATGTCTTAATATATTATATTATTTCATACTAATTTAAAATAAATTCTTCTCTATACCTTCTTTAAAAAAATATTGATTACTATAATTTCCTCGCAGAAGATTCACCATAAGAAGTAAACAATCTTCTACTACAATGCCACCTTCTATTCCACCTTCTTGAGATATAACATCATATATTCGATCAAAAGCATTTTCAAAAGCTACTATTTTTTGTATATTAATATTACCTTTCGTTAATTGTATTAATAATAAAACAGCCTATAATAAAAATTAAAAATTAAAATAATTCATTTTATTTTAAAAAGTAATTTTATAAACTAACATCATTACGAATCACTTCTCTACTATCTCCAAGTAAATCCATAAGTTTAGAAATTCCCATTGGGCTTTCTAAGATTATTTCTTGTATATCTTTTGATTTATGTAATAACAAATTAGATAAGAGTTTCAAAGCAGACCAACGAACTCTAAAGTCAAATTCTTCTAAAAATTTTAATACTTGACTAACGGTATCTTGTTTTTTTATAAATATCTCTGTAAACTGTTCACCGATACTATGCTTTGATTCTTGTTTATCAACTTAAAGAAAATTATTGTAAAAATTTTTATTCAATTAAATTATTTTTTAAATCATTCTTTAATTTACCTTCTTCATCAAATATTTCTGGATTTGTTATATTGCAAAGTGTATCTAAAGACAATCCTAGAATTTCATAATCAGTTTTATCTATGTACAGAATTTGTTTTAATGCATCCATACCCTGTACACCTACTTCAATCCTATATGTTCTAGAAAGTGCTTTTAAAGCTCTACAGGCATCCCTTCTATCACCAAGTAAAGTTGAAGATGATAATCTATCAACTAGTCTTTCTACCTAAAAAATATTTTAAAGTTTTTTCATTATTAAGTGTGATAATAGTTAAATATATCTAACAATGAAGAACAAAAATATATGCATTTACTGTCTCTGCTCCTGATGGAGAGTTTTCTGGTGAAGGAGCTCCAAGAACTGATTTGAGACCACTCTTAAGATATTCCATTTCGATGATTTTATCTAAGTAATAAGTTTATTATAAATAGAAAGGCAATATTAAAATAATTAGGCAGGCCATTCTATGACAATAATTTTATAAATTAATAAAATAATAAAATCAATTTTTATTATTATCAAACAGTCATTTACAGTTAAAATTATAGAAATTATAAAAAATTACATAAATAAAAAATGAATCAGTACAATGAAATAAAACAAAATTTGCGTAAAATTGAATAAAAAACAACGTTGTTTTACTTTTCGATTAATATCGTCTCTCTATTATAATATATAAGGAAATACGTTACAATCACACAATGATGAACATTGAACGTTACTTTCAGTGTTCCACAAATCTAAAGGTAGACAATGTACAAATCTACTTGTAATCCGCCGGCCCTAATAATTTCAAATTATAAAATAAATGATTATGTGATATGATTATGAGTATTTTTCAATTTGTTTCCACACTCACAGAACTTGCAATAAAATAATATAAATATTCTATAACATTGAATGGAAATTGCCCAATTTAACTACATTTCAAATTTAATTTATTCTTTATTAGTTTTATAAAGAAAATGTACATGGAATAAAAAAGTAACTAAAAGAATGCTTGTTCTTAAATTCAATTAAAGAATACATATCTAATTATAAAAAAATATTAAATGAAAATTAAATATAAAAAAAAAATTTTTATTAATTTACTGCATAAAGTAATTTTTATTACTATATTAAATTTCAATTATAAATAAGTAAGATAATGTTAGCCAACACTTTTACTAATTAAAAATTATAAAATATTCTTATTGTTTCGATTTAACATCCCACGATGTCATAATAAAAAAATCCTGATAGTATATTATATAAATAAAATAGTTTCAGAATATTTCAATACCCAAGAACAAATACCTATAATTAGCATAGTCAGAATAATTATAATAATTGTTACTGCGTATAATATTTATATGATAATTATTGATTTTTATATTTATAATAAAAATGAAAGATACCTAAAAATATAAATGTTCGGAAATTAATTCCACAATTCAACTCGTCAGCCAAACGTGTACTAATTAACTTAGAACCATAAAACCCACTAGATGTTATGTGGGGTTGCCGGGCAAGTAAAGGGTGAATGCACTGATTAATAATTAACACAAGTCTTTAGTATTTCTATTTATTTAAATTGATTTACAAAGGTGAATTACAAATGAACTTGGTTTTCTTAATAATCTTGTAGTGTTGAAATAAATTACCTATGTATAAAGCAGGTTATAATCTATTAAATATTATCACTGGAGGTTATGATTGCTGTGGTGCGTTAATTGAACGCGGCACTGTTGGCAAGGTTAATTCACACGTGTGCAGTCAACTCTAGTGTTGGGCGTAAGAGCGCCAAGTAGAGGTTATGCGAAGCTGTGCGCCACCTGTGGC